TAACTTCCTGACATTATGTGTGTTTGCCCAAAGAAGAGAGATATCCAGTGCGCAAATAAGGGTCTGAGCAGAGTAATATTGTAAATTGTCTTACCCATGGATGGTCACCTGTAGGGAGATCTAAAGTGTCTCATCTAAGGTGTTAGGGTGCTCATCATGAGAGCAACACTCAAGTTGTAATTACTTACAAGAATCCAGGACTCTTCAGGATTCTGAAGCCACCTGGTTGTTCAGGGAAGACATCCTCCAAGAAGTAGTAAACATGACCAACTGCAATACCTAAAACCAAACATGAATACCATTAAACCATTGAACAACTAATGCTGTGCATAAAAATTTGTCTCCCAGAATATATTTCATTTGTAAAAGTTGTAAGGTTCAAAATGTTATATATTCTCTGGATTATGAACAATCCTCACAATCTTCTATTTGAAAAAATTAACAGCAAAAATTTTTTCTCATAAAACAAAAAATAAAATCAACCTCGATAAAAAGACAAATCCCAGATTTCTGGGAACTAGTGGTGGGAACTAGTGGTGGAAACTAGAAACCTGGCAGAAAACTGAATCATATCCCAGAGGATGTACTCGGGGGTAACATATTTTGGGTTGACAATTTTCATTCCCGGTATTTGTTTGGGTCAAGATCTACCACATATTTTTTTAGGTTGTCACATCTCCAAGTTCAATAATTCGTTTGAAATTTTTTTCAGCAAGGCACGAGTTCCATAAATTAAAGGAACATACTGATAACAATTAAGCTGTTTTTCGTTTTATGAAAATTCATGCATTATAAGGGCCTGTTGATTTCAATAAATCAGTTTAGAGGTATAAGCCTTTTCATAGTTTAAGAATCGATTCCACTGCGCATGCGATTTTATCCCAAATTTCTCACCTTCTTTTGTTTAATTAAGAACAAAAGAAGGTTTAGACAAAAGAAGGTGAGAAATTCGGGATAAAATCGCATGCACAGTGGAATTGATTCTTAAACTATGAAAAGGCTTATTAAAGTCTTGTATTTTTTGGGTCCAAAATTTGGATGCATGTATTTTTTGGGGCATAAAATTTCAGGTTTGAGTATTTGTTTGGGGTTGCAATATGAAGCTCCATCGGACCCCCCCCCCCCCCCCGTCATGTTACCCACCCGAGTACACCCCCTGGGAATCATATACATGTATACTATATTTATTTACCAACTAAATCCACCATGACTGAGTTGCCAAGCATCAGAGAGAAACCAAACAATACCCAAGGTAAAAATGGAGCTTTGAACGTCAAAAGACCAAAAAAGTTCATTCTCACATAAGGATTTCTTCTGCTCCAAATGTAAACAAGCATTATTGTGAATGCTTGACCCAGGAAAACAAGATTCACAAAAAGAGCAATAATCTGAATAACAGCGTCAAGGTATAATATATAATCCAAAGTCTCAGAATGGAATATGGTATTAATATCCTTGATTTTCCAAGGTAAAGACAATGAAGAGTACATCCATGTCCTGACCTTTTTAAAGAATTTCCATGACAAAATGAAGTATGGAAACTATTCTCCAAGATATTGATTCACAGTAGAGTTAGAAWATAAACTATGAGTCTTTCAAAAGGGATTTATTTTATTTTATTTAGACTCATATATTATTTAGTTTGCCCCAAGAGAAAGCTCACTAAAATGGATCTATAAAACATCCTCACACACACCATAAAAAAGTTCCATTAAGAAAATAGAGTCTAGCTTCCAAAGACTCTCCAAACCACTTTACAATTCCAGCCCCCCATCATAAGCAATTCTCACTCAACTYGAGGGTAGATCTCCAGGCAGGGTCCCTTTTGAGGAAATCGTTCTTACATAATCAAAACTTAGTTTCACTCGGCTTCTAAAGCATATTATACAAGGATACAGTCATGAGGGCACCACCAAATATGAACATAAATACGAAGTCTGCAGAACGACCACGAAAAGAACCCTCCTCAAGCATACGGCAATATCGATATCTGAACAACTGTTAAGCTGAAATAACCTTGCACAAAAATCATGTACAAATTGATAATCAAAAAATGATTAATAACTCTAAGTAATAACATATAAAAATGAGTCCAATAAATGGAGTTTATTTACTGCGCAGGACAGGTCTGGATGGGGAAAAACTGTAAAAACTTATTTCTTTTTTTCCCCATTTACTTTTTCACTTGCTTTTATATTATCTTTGCTTTTAGCCATCYCTTATCTCAAAATAATGGACCACATTCGCAATTTTTAGGATACCAGGCTAAAAAAGATAAAATTATCAGTATTCTATAAAGAAATGTATAACATGTGGGGCTGAGGAACATATTATGCATGGGTGCGGTCTCACTGCTTAGGTTGTAGGTTTAATATTTAGACCCACTGTTTTCTATATATGTGAGTCAAAGYTCTTGTTGGTTCTCTTTCTCTTTGCTTTCTCCAGGTTATTCAGTTAATTTCCTTGAATCGGCCTACACTAAAACAGAGTACCTCCAGACGTTAACAAAATAGGATAGAATCTAGCCTTGTCCCCAGACTGCTCATTGTCAGCTCTCCCAAATCAAAAWTGGCAAATGCTTCAGAGCAAACGTACATATGTAGCCTGACAAAATATTTGGAGTTATCTTCCAAATAGTTTCTCATATTAATTTGTTTCCATTGAAAAAGTCCCCTTTGACATCATGTATGTATTAACCTTAGAAAACTCATTAATAATTCATGAAGGAAACACAATAGAAATCATGACCATGAAGGRGGTTTTATATCTGATATAGATTCGTCTTCATTTGCAAAACTTTAACTTGGATTTTCTCTATCAAACTTGGTTCATTTCGTAAAGAATTCTGTACAATTTGAGAACATACATCATGAGTTTTCTAAGCCGTTTAATAAACTCGCAGATCGTGTTTTATCGGGTCYAAAACCACTCGGCTGCGCCTCCTGTCTTATGCCCRATAAAACACTCCTGCTTGTTTATTAAACATTACATAAACTAATCAAGGATTTGGCCAGTCTACTCATCTGAAAGGCACTGAGCTAAATGGGTAGAATGGGGACAAGGCTAGGTAGAATCAACAATTTGAAATATTTATCTTTAAAGGATACGTAAAAATCATGTTGAAAAAGAAATTAAAACCTATCGTGCCAAAGAATAAAAAGTTGGTGATAAGTCTCCACAGCTGAAAACAAAAACAAAAACATGAGAAGCTTATCAAAGAGTTTTCTGATGCAGGACCTTATCAAGACCTCTTGAATGATCAATTTACTAGCCATTAGAAACTGTCTGTGACTAATAATAATACATTAATATATTATTATTATTATCTATTTCTAATCTGTAAATATTAGATACCATGAGGATATGAACCTAGCACATAAAAATATTGGTGACATGTATGACTAATGGCTCTTATGAGGGGTGCACGTGCACCCTGTGCTCCCCCCTGGTTACGGCCCTGATTTGTTCACTATTGAAATTACTAAGATAAACAAAATAAAATGAAATGAAAAATAAATGTTACTTCTATTAAAATATCCAAAAACAAGGTCTATATTGCCGTAATTAAAAACCAACCAGATACTCAAAGCAAACAATCGTTTATTATATTAGTAGGCCGGCACATCATATCATGTTAATTAACTGATCAGAAAATCTGGTCATTCTCTATATCCGCGCTAACTACGCTTAATTATTGTATTACTTGCAACAATGTATTGACTAAAACAATTGTCCCGCTAGTAGGGAATGTTTCCTTCTTAATATCATATCTTACCTGATATCGCTGAAAGATCAGTTCTGGATTGAAATAAAGTTGAAATGGAGTAATGACGTCGAGTTGCTGTAAACACAATAACAAGCAAATGTTAACTTTTAAAGTATCTTTCGATGCGAGGAATTCGATAATTCGAGAAAAACCAACTATCTTACCACTGCTAGTGTGGTTAATACACATGCTGTAGTGTAAGCCCGTGTAACTATGGGCATTTGCATGTATTCGGAGTGAAACGTTTGGTACGCCATCTTGGATTACTTTCCCTTGGTATAGAACACGTCACTAGTCACCAGGACACGTCATCTACCCACGGTTCCACAGGGAACCAACGCATGACATCACRCCGAATACGCCGACTTTTGGAGAAAAACGTCTGTCGTAAACCTCTCGTCAACATTGTTTTTATTCTACTAAGTCATTGGTTTGGCAAAGAAATGTGAAAGATATATTATTACTGAAAATATAATAAACCGCTATAAAAATATAAAATAATCGAAAAACCAAGCTTGAACAATTTGAGAGCAAAAAATAAATAAAATAACAAATTAATTAGACACGGAAGTCCATTTGACAGAAATGCAGAAATTTACACGATTTGTTTCCCACATATGTGCTATGCCCCCGAGAACACGCAGAATGAGGCGTCGTATAGACTTCGCACAGGGATTAATCAAACGCCAAATTCAGTTTTACCATGTAAAAACAAGGACTGTTTTTTTTTTGTTTTTTTTGTTTTGTTTTTTTTTTTTTGTTTATACGAAATGAGCAGATCATTATTTCAGGCTGTTTCCTCGTTACCCTGCGAGCAGTCTCCTTTTAACTCCTCTACGGGCGAGAGAAGTAAAAGGAGACTCTGCTCGCAGGGTGTGTCCTCGTTTGACTTCATCCCCACATAATACCGCGGGGCAAAGCAAAGTGTTGCAGGGTGTGTTTTACCCGTGGCAAAGTATTTAGTAGTAGCTCGAGTAGTGTTTGCACAGATGCATAGGATTTTCTACGAATTATGCCTCAATAAAAAAGAGATGTTGTAAGTCACGCCCAATAAATTTTACACCAAGCAATCTTTCTTGCAAATTAGTGTCACATTGATCAGTGCGAACGTAAAGAATTGGATGGGAAATTATTGCCGCGCGATTGTATATTATTAACCTTCCGAGGCTGAGATACAAACTGGGTAGAGTTGGCAGTACAGTGTATTGTGGAACTGCTTTCGGGAACATATTTCTAAGATGGCGTCTATTTAGTCCCCTAAAACAGTCCAACAATGCACTGCAATCCCAACTACAGCCCGTTTTCCCTCAACCTTGGAATGACCGATTATTATTGAGTCTAGTTTTAAGAAGATTGTTGCACTACGAAAAATAATTGCAATAGCGAGACAATGCTTGGTACGCCACACTAGCACTAAGCACTGATCTTCATGCAGAGCGTGCAGCTTGTTCCCTTTTTCTCTTCACCTGGTTTTTATTTTTGATACGATCCATTTGAAAGAAAGAAATGCCTTCAATATAAGTTTAAAGGATAAAAATATTTCACTTCATAAGCTTGGGGTATAATAGTGGGGTTCGTTACTATATCAGTAATTACGCAAATGTAAGTCACAGAGGAAGAGTCTTCACTAGCCCAAGTACTGTAATGTAAAGTTTAATTTCCAATAAAGATCGAAGATTCTACTTCCTTTTTACAATCGGAATTTTTGGACGATCAAAATACCTAGAAGGCAAGTCGAGGTATTTTTACGAGAGATTTTGCTCAACAGAATAGAAATATAATGAACGACTTCCAATAGCAGGTCTGTCATGTAATCATTCTCCTTCATGTAAAATGGCAAAAAATATTAACATTAAAGACATAGGTAGGACTTTTGGAAGGAAAAAATCTTTTTGAGCGGAGTGCAAGAGGTTTCTTTTATACCACATTACTGCAATTATCCAGAACAATTTTCTGCAAATCGTTTGGCCGTCATTCAAATATTAAGTGTGCTGACCAACATGGCGGATACTGAATTATCACGTGACCTGCTAGAGCAACCGCTCTTGTTTTGTTTGTGGTTTTATAAAGCTGTTGCTTTCACAACAAAATATACAAGTGCTTTGGATTGTACTATACTCACAAATTAACAGAAGCTATACACAGATTGCACCATCTGATAAAATTTTCAAGAAACCTTTCGAGCCCAAATCATTTATATTGGAAACGGTAAAACAAAGATAAGGCATAATAGCTCATAATCAATTTTACTGAATTAATCACACGCCAGGATAGAGAGACCAAGTAAAAAAAAGCTTTGGTCCTCCTTTGCCTCCTCTTGAAAACCAATAACATTGATCGTATTTATAAAAATAGGGCATTACATTTAGAACCCCCAACCCATTCCATAGGAGTGGGATCTGGGCAATTATATCACTGCTATAGACAATAATTAATTATAATAACACATTTATCAAACTAATATTTTGTATTAAGTATTATTATTATCACAAAGGATTTCCCTTTCCAGAATTGCAAAAGAAGATTGGGAACGAACACGCTTCTTCACATTTGGAATGAGCTTCGGAGACGCCAGAATTCCATGCGAGCTAAGTCCCCTCCTAATCTTTTTTCATACTCCGAAAAGGAAAAAAATCTTGATTTTTTCTATTGCGAGCAACGCCAAATTGCTTTATTTTTAGAAGTCTGAATATTTCCAACGTTGTAGCTCGATTTAACGAATCTCACGATTACTACCCGTATCCTTTTTTTGGTCAACAAATTTAAACAAAAAGCATCAACTGACTCGAAATTTATCTATATTTGGAAATTTGGATACCCGAATGTCGCTCAGTTTAAAATCGTCATTAAACMCAAACACTTCGTTCCATTTTCACCAGACGGTGTATCTTGACCAAAAACTTCTTTTTCTTTTCATTATTTGATTGAACAATTGATTGAACAATCGCAGCACTTCTTACGAATCTGAAAAAACTTACAGAGGTAGTCAAGTAAACATCTCAAGAACTTACCTTTTTTAAAAAAAAATTCACGAGGGCTTTGCTTTGTATTATTTTCTTGTTAATTCGGAACTTTTTCTTAGAACGAATCATTTGTTTGACACTATCGTATTCGTCCGATTAAAAATAAGAAACACTTTTTTTCAAGATAATTATACCACATCTGAATATAAAACGCCTAGTTGCTAATAATCTATACAAGGTCGCGCTTTTGAACGGACCGTGCCATTAGGATACTGGGCTTTTTGCTGGCAGTTTATCTTGTAGATGTGATATCTTTATGGACCTTGAACACAGTATTGTTTTTAGACTCGAAGTGAATTTACCGTTAGCCTTTCATTTGAAGCTGGTTGCGCTCGCAGTGCGCCGTTATTCTCATTGGTGCCCTGAGCGCTGGACGCACTGACCGAACTGGAAGAACTTAGATTACTTAGACTGGTTACACTGCTAATGCTACGTAGTTTCCATGAAGCCGTCGAATAGTTATCCGGGTCGGCATCGTTATCAAAGTCTTCTAGTTCACGAGTGTGTCTTTCTTCCAGTTGACGAGTCTTGTCTCGTCTTAGTTGCTGTAGTTTCTCTGTTTCYTGGAACATCTAGAAAAATTCAATGAAAAGAGATGAGGAATTTAGACTAAAAGATCGCAAACTCGGCAGTTGGTTTACGAAGATGGTCTTCAGGGCCCGGTTGTACGAAGCCTGGATAGCGCTATCCGGCGGATAAATYCTATCCAGTGGACAAGTCGTTGCTGTTATCCAATAAATTGATCCACTGGATAAGATTTATGCATTGGATAGCACTATCCAGGCTTGGTACGACCGGGCTCTGAGGGATAACCTCGCTGGGACCTCGTAATCGTCCGTTTGCCCCTCATCATGCTTGCCTTTTCCCATTATTTTCCTTTTCTATATCTCTATTTTTATATTTGTAATGGTAACGGTAGGCTGATGGACGCTTTTAAATAAAGGCGGTTTACAGTAAATATTCTTGGTACCTTTTGTTCGAGAAGAGCTCGTCGCACTGACACTTTCTCCTGAAGCTCCTTTTCCTCTCTGTCGTGTTGTAACTTTAATTGATTGCTTTGTTTACTCTGATAGGCGTTGAGCAGTTCCTGTTCACTTTGAAGTTTCTGTCTTAAAGACTCTTGTTCACAAAGCTGTACCTCGTCCAGTTTTAGCTGGGGRAAAATGTGAACACTTCAGATAACAGGAAATTAAAACAACTCGACTGAATAGAGTAGCGCCGGAACCCACAACCATAGTGATGACAAATAGAGTAGCTTATTCTATGTCTTTTATGTTAGAGGACACTCCTGAATGCAAACACTTATTGCATAGGTGACGGAGGCATCATCTTAAAAGATTTGTTCTTGTTGTTGTTGTTGTTATTATTATTATTTTATTGACAGTGCACACCGACAGTACTCTTTCAAGTTTAGGAATTCTTAAGAGTCTAAAATATATAGCTCAAGAAGGGTTCCGTTTCCCACTACCACCACCACCACCACGGCCACCACAACCACCGTGCACTACCATGGCCACCACCACTACCACCACCGTGCACCACCATGGCCACCACCACCACCATTCACCACCATGGCAACCACCATCATGGCCACTTCCACCACGGCCTCCATACCAGTCGTCCACCACCACTACCACCA